GGGGGCAGAGAAAGAGCAGTGCTGCTCATGCTCTGCTTGTGTCTGCTTGCTCTGAAAGCACCTGAGGGCAGGGTTTGGCTTTATTCTTTGTTTGCATAGCACCAAGCATGCCTCATTTGCAGCTTCATTACAATTTGACCCGGTGTATTACCAGCAGTTTAAAGCTCTGTCTGCTGCTTCTGATACTGAACAACAGTTATTTCTTCAAGGGGACAGCGATTATTTCTTTCTCACTGGGGCAGAAAGACCACAAGAAGGAACTTGGGGTACTGGGGATTTTTGAGCAATGGCAGTGCTACAGGTTGAGCATCTGATGGATGAATTTTTTTTGTTGCACATTTACATTTGGAAAGACCTCTGCTGGGCAACACCTCAGTGGCATTTTTCTCACCCTGAGCTCAACATGGAAACCTACAATTATCCCTCTGAATGCTCACTGGGGCCCCACTGCAATCACGTTTGCATAACCTGAGTTAAGATACAACGTTACTTTAAACCTCTTGTGCCTCCAGAGGATGGAAAGCTCTTCCTCAGGGGTGTAATTATAGAAACAGTTGTGACACTGTGTATCTTCACTCTGCGCTGGAGTGTTTCATAGGAGCAGTTCTCAATTACCAGCTTGGGTCTGCCCATGGGAGAACATTGTGGAAGGGAAACCAGGAGGCTGCTGTGTGATGCAACAAAACTTTAATGAGAAAGAAATGCCTTTGTTTGCAAAGCAAGATATCACAGAATGTGAAAAAAAAAAAACCAACCAACTGCTTCCAGACAGTTCCTGAGAATGTTCAACAAATGTCCTGCACACAGATGAGAGACTGCTGTCCTCAGATGGTTTTGTTCTCAGTAGCTGTGCAGCTCCTGGTGAAGATGCCATTAGGAGTGATGCTTACGTTGCATGTAACGTAACTGGGACAGCTGGAACAGGTGATAAGAGTGAACATCAACCCAGAAACTGACGGAAAAACACAAAGCAGATGAAAGACCAGAAATGCTAAGTCGAAACCGGGCTGCTGGTGCACCAAGCCCCGTCCTCATTGCTCTGCTTGGGCCTTCATGTGAGATTCCCCTGCCCTTCTGCCCTTAGCAGGGCCCACAGCTGCCCCTTAGGATCCGGCTGTAGCGACGAGAGGAGAAGGGGCTGCAGAACCCACTGCCGAGCGTGGAGAGGGCTGAGCTCCCATAGCCGTACTGCGCTCCGTATCCCAAGGAGCTCCCGATGCCATAAGAGCTCCTGGCGCCATAGAGGCCCCCCAGCCCCAGGGAGCCCCCAAAGGCGGGTGCTCCAGAGGATCCCACCACAGCTTGCTGGGGGAAGGAACTGAGGATGGGGCCGGGGAAGGTGACGACGACGGGCGGTGGCTGGATGAGGGCTGTTGAGTCGGGGCATTGCCGGACGCAGACATCATTGCAGCTGTTGGCAATGGGCTGTGGGCAGGCGATGCTGCTGGTGGTGGGGCACAAGTCGTAACAGGACATGGCTCGGCAGAGAGGTGATTCTGAAAGAGAGGGCTGAGTGAACACAGAGCACGAGGTGTGCTGGAGCACAGCGTTTGTTGCTGGGGTGTTGGGGAGCAACGCAAAGAGGGGCTGATGCACAGGCAAAATCGGTGTCACTGCTTAAAGAGTTTCTTGTGCACACACAACTGCTCTAATTGCAGGTATCATGCTCCTTTTCTGTTTTTGTTTGTTTGTTTGTTTGTTTGTTTGTTTGTTTGTTTGTTTAGTTTTATGCTCTTGGGGATAATTCACTCCCAATGTTCTCTTTCAACTCTACATTCTTTCATCTCTGTAATCCCCCTGGTAAAACCCTAAAGAATTAGAGCCCAAGATGAACTTGAACTCATGATTCATATACTTGCAATGTTAAATATAGATACCCTATGAAATATTTCTGTCCAATATTTCTTGGCATAACATTTTTTCTACAGAGCGTGGAGTAAGTTGGAAAATGTAAAGAGCTGATTTTCTTTGTCAGATAAACACAAGTTAGGATTATTTTGCAATAAGATTTCTATGTGTATAATGCTCTTTACTCAGCTGGCTTCTCAAACAGCTTTGTATTCAGACATGGTTTAGGTATTAACTGAAGTGCTGCAAGAGAACTTTGCATTTTGAAGCTTCTGCCATCTGATATTTTCAATCTGCTCGCAGGATGGGAATAGCAAAATAGGAATAACAGAATTCAATGCCCCAAGCCCTGGTCTTGACCCTAAAACTTGCCACCTTGCAAATAATAAAATAAAAGATGAAGGGAGAGAGAAGAGAAAGACAAAATCTCACCTGATATGGAGGAGAATCTGCAGGAGGAGTTGGAACTGGACTGCACACAGGTCTCCTTTTATACAGTTCTCCCCAGTGCCTGGGGGGGTCTGAGGCACTGCACACATGAGGTCATAATCATAAAGCAGCCCCAATCTGAAGCACACCGAACTTCCCAAAATGACGAAATTGTTTTTGCTTTGCTGTTTGCAAAATCACCCTAAATCTCTGAGTAGCATGGTAGGCACATTCCAGCTCCCAGCACTCTTTCATCTCAATGTTTAATTGACCGGCTGCAGTGCTGGTATCATTCCACCCTCCTCACTGGCATCACAGGAGGTATTAAATTGTTTCTATTTATTTAGCACTTCCTTCATTAACTTCCTGTAATGATTTTAATCAGAGCTGTAGCTTGCTGTGCATGTTTGCGTTTGAGCTCTGCAGATCTGGGCTATAATCTGATCTGCTCACGCATTTTGCAATGAAATGGTCAGTGAGATGGAAGCCAATTTCTGGTCCTGCTCCCACCCACAGCCCCAAAATGTGGGGGTGAACCCATCCCTGTGGAAAGCCACAGTATGAAAGTCTATGGGCTTTGATTCAGAAATGTTGAATTTTCCTTGCTGCCTGGGAGCACCAGCAGAAGAGATTGCTTTAGTACCTGAAATAGTGATTAAAATTAAATCTGAAGGGATACCAGTGTAATTCACAGTTTGCCCCTATCTACCCCTCTGCCTTATAGAAGAATTGAATTTGTGTTTCACTGGGTGATCCCAAAGAAATAACTTTAAATGCTTTCTTCCCAGACATGCTGGCAGGTGGCAGGAAGATGGAATATTACAGGAGTAGCATTATTTTCCTTCTCTTTTTTTCCTGGATCAGCAAAACATCTGCAGAGTGATCTCCTTGCCAGATTCCAAGTGATGTGTAAAACACTGATTCAGGCTTTCCCTGTGCTCAGTAGGGAGGAACAAGAATACTACAAGACACTCATGCTGCCTCATGCTTCCCTTACTGGTGTTTGTATTGTCCTCAAAACATGCCAATTTTGCTGTCGTTGACACACAGTGTGATTAATGAAACACCCAGCTTCCAAGCAAGTGAGGTGCATTGAGATGCAACCCACCCATATTCTGAAATCCTGGGCAATGGACAGTGCCCAATCCACTCCTACGTTTCCCCATTTGCTCATGGGTCAGTTGATGTTAAATAGCAATCACCACAATATTTGTGTCAGAAATTATCCTTAATTTATGAGGGTTTTTTGAGGCAGCCCTGGGGGATCACGGCACAATAGCACTCATAAGGGATGTTAAATTAGTTTTTGTGTGTGGTTTTTAAGTGCTTCATAAAGCATTTCTAATGGCTTAGGTATGAACTGGTGTATCATTATTGCCATACAGGTATGTGGTCAGATTCAAGCAGCCCAGAGCTTTGAAATGTAATTTTGAAATTGCACTGGTCAGGTGCATTCTTCCTATCCTTTTCACCAGCTCATGATTTCCAGCATCAGGCTTTCAGCAGATTTCCTGTTCCAAAGGAGTTCTTCATTTGTCTGGTTGTGGCACAGAGATCTCCAACCTCATGTTTGGAAGCTTTCCCTGATGCTTTCCAAGCCTATCTGTGAGCTGTCTGCCTTGGCTCTATGACTGAAACACATACTTGGTTTCCTCTAAAAAACATATTCCACAAGCTATCTGTCTTTTATTGTGGCAAATTGATCTACAGAATTAGGTAGTTTGCCACACGGGGCATGGGGATAGATGGTTTAAAAAGTGCTTTGTAATGTTTCTCTGGATTTTTCACCAAAAGAGTGCAGGGTGGTCCTGTTCCACCCTCATGTAGATTGTTGGTTTCGCAAGAAAGACGCCGTTTGTCTCAATTATACATTATCTAGCATGAGTAAGAAAGGATGGAAAAAAAATCTGCATATGAAAGCAGATGGCAATTACAGTGCACTTCTGAGCCACCATCATTATGTCAGCTAATAAAGAAGAGGTAAATAAGTGAAGCCAGCACAATTCCTCCTGTCATTCTAATGTAGTTAATGGAACATTACCAGGAATGAATCTTGCCAATTAAGTGTTAAGATGAAAGAAATGTTTGTTTTGTAATTCACATTTCATGCAGAGTGAGAATTTGAATCAACTAATAAACATAAATACTGAGCAAAAACCTGTTTCATCATTTTGAGGTGAACCACGTATGATAGATGTGGGCTAGAGTTAATGGGAACCTCGGGTCCTCCAGGCAGTTCGAGGAAATGCATATAAAGCCCTTCTCATTACTGCCTTGTATTTGTTTCTCTTGCCTTCTTCTTCTTGGAGCCAACTATTTTCTAGCTGTCAAGCTGTTGATTCCTGTGATATTTAGAAATACTCTTTTGTCACTTACAAGGTGACAATGTTATATTCTGATTTTTAGGGTCCAGCTGGTATTTTTCACCATGTATTCTCAGGAGCTGTCAGCTCTCCATAAGACCAGATTTTGGGGTTGCACTCTGCTGAACAGAAACCAAACCCCTGCAGCCCTACAAATTGCACTCTTACCCTCCCAAGACCTCAATCAGGACCTTATTTAAAAAAGAACATGTCTTCTTGGTCTTCCAGGTGCCATTTCAACTTAGTTCACATGGAAGAAAGCCAAAGCTTTAAAGGAATGTGAGGAAAGCTTCCTTGGTGCAAAAAGGGCCCCCTGGGTGCTAGGAGTTGGGTGAGCCTTCTCATTCAATAATGGAATGCATCCAGATTTTTACACTTAGCCTCAGGCCATGTAGAACTGACGTTTATCAGAGACAAGGCACAGGACAAGAGTGGCCATTTACCTGGTGAAGTATGGTGAAGCAAGGTGACCTTCTACATTCCTCTGTTTTCACTACACAATGATTAACTATTATCTAAAAATATTTTTCTTAGAGGGCTCATACACTTCTGAGGAACTCCATTTACCTGACCAGGTAGATCTTGGCTGGTTGGCTGCAGTTGGGTGGGGTGGTCTGGAATTATGTGTTGCTATGCCTTTCCCATTATCATGAGATCTGAGTTTCTCCTGTTTCAGGGAATCTGTGCAATTAGACTTTGCCATGTTTCCTGCTATTCACTCTGTATCTGGCTCCAATGCCAACAGCTGCCCTGAGTTGAGGGCAGTGAATCAACAACCACACATAGGCTTCTCCTCCCCAGCCCAATGCTTGGTTCCTTCCTTCAGGACAACACAGTGGGATCCTTGGCAGCACACACACTTTGGGGCTCTTTCTCTTAACAAGAGCTTTGATTATGCTGGTCTTTCCCACAGCATTTAAAGGCAAGGCGGTGAGTTGTGCATCCTTTCTGGCTGCTGTTTTGCTGTGGATAAATATGTAGCCTAAGATCTTTTGGCAGCAGAACCACGGGAAGAAGCCATTTTATAAGATAAGTATCTGCTTCATTAGGAGACAGATGCTCTTCCGATAGCAAGAACAGATAGACCATATGTGGTGCAGTACTTTTACTTGGTTTGAGGCTACCCATTGAATACTTATATAGAATATATTTATATTTAATAAGCATGTTACTTAAAGAGAACCAAAGAACTCCCCAAACCAGAAATCCAAATAGAAGTACTGTGAATGTATGCAAACGGATTGGCAGAAGTGTCACCTACATACAGCCAGGATTTACCACAGAAAGACTCTTCAAAAGGCTGGACTCAGGCAGATCTGTGTCAGAGAAGCACAAATTCCAAAATTAGTTTGGTATCAGCCACCAATCTTCCATTAAGGGCTGTGGTTAGATTACATTATGACATCAGATTACAAGTTTGCAATGGAATAAGCAAGGGCTCAATGTGTAATTAGTTCAAAGTTTTATCTCACAGACTCATGAGTGGGAAATCTAATGGAGTAATGTGTCAAGAAAGCTCCTGCTCATCTATGGCAGGTATCTTGTGACCACATTGGTGCTGCGTGAAACAGTGGTGAAACAAATCTAGAAAGGGCATCTGATGGACCATGTGGGCAGAGTTTGCACAATGCTATTGTAGCTCTATGTTCAACTGGCAGCTTCATCCAGAGAAGTTGGCAAACTCAGGAGGGAAGGAACCAATGAACCACAACACACTTTTTTTTTTTTTTTTAATGATGCAGTGGAATTTTAATGAGAACGGAAAGAATAAACAAGTATCACAGTATCAAGTATGTATATGCAGGATGTCGGAGACAGATGCATTTGGAAAGGAACTATTTACATGTCTCACTGCACTCAGAAACCAGTATGATAAAATATTGAACCAGAAAGGTACCAGAGAAGAATTCAAAGGAAAAATGTAGAGGAGTGGAGCATACAAATGGCAGAGCCCTGCGCAGGATTAGCAAATACTTTCACAAAGCTGTCACTCATCTGCTTGCTGGTAAATCTGCATTTTGTTTTCCACTGGTACTTCATTCAGTGGATTTTCCTGTTGTGTTTAGCAGGGCCCACAGCTGCCACGACGATATCTGCTGTATCGGTAGGAGTAAGGGCTGCAATAGCCAGAACCATAGGATCTACCATAGCCATACAGGCCCCTGTAACCCAGGGAGGAGCCCCCATACAGACCCCCATAGCCCAGGGAGGAGCTTCCATAGCCCCCATAGCTTCCAAGGCCATACAGCCCCCCATAGCCCAGGGAGGAGCCTCCAGCGCCCCCAAGAATGGGTGCTCCAGAGGATCCCACCACAGCTTGCTGGGGGAAGGAGCTGAGGATGGGTCCAGGGAAGGTGACAACAACGGGAGGTGGCTGGATCACGGTTGTGGAGTCAGGGCACTGCCGGACACAGGGCTCGTTGCAGCTGTCAGCAATGGGCTGGGGGCAGCTGACGCCACCGGTGGTGATGGAGCACAAATCATAGCAGGACATCTTTTGGAGATGGATGTAAGCTGCAACACACACTGATGATGAGACTAAATGGAAGGCAGAAACTCTACTGAAGAAAGGAGTTTAAAAGTTGGACACATGGATAAGAATAATGGCTTTATCTCTCAGATCTTGTCTGTATTTCATCCTTTTCAATCTAGTTCATCAGTATCTCTCTCTATCACTTGTAAAAACAAGCACTGCTCAGGTCCCATTCTGAAAAATCATTCCTTTTATTGTATCCTTCCTAATTTCTCATGCTTGGCTTCCTATTAGAAGTTTTTTTTCCTACCCAGCTCTTGATCACTACAAGAACTGACCACTTGCTCTGCCGATTGCTTTCACGATATTTTGCAGTCACTCTCGCAATGTCTGTCTCTAAGAGGTTGTTTCACATTTTATTTTATACTGGCAAAAACAAAGCAGAGTAACCTGAATACCAGTGAAGCTCTTGCAGTAAATTAATGGGTAGCTGGAATAACAACTCTGACATACTGACTTGTAACTTGTTTCCAAAAGCAATAGCTAAAATAATGCTGCCGGCATCCTGAGCCTGCTAGAAAAACAGATTAAATAAGGCATTCCCTGCCCTGAAGTATTTTCAAAGTAGATTGAGAGTCACAGGGTGGATGAGAAGATTATCTGTTTGGTTTCTCCAGAGTGAAACTGGTACACTCAGGCAGCTATAGATTGGCCTCTACTGCAGACATGTTTGTTGGGTGCTGAGCTCTTCAGAAAGATTGTCACCATAGGATCTGAGCCAATTTCTAGGAAAATCCATGGAAAAGGCTCAGTACCTCCTCTGAACAATTTTTTCTTCACTAGAACCGTACTGAAACATAGATCTATGGAAAATAGTAGTTTAGAAAAGATTTCTGAAGGTCATTTGGACCAACTCCTTGCTCAGATGGAGGACAAGTGAAGGTTAAGGTTTTCTAGTTTCATCTCTATATTCCAGTATCTCTTTCAACAGTATTTCTGCATTTTTCTGGCCAAGCTGATCCACTCATAATACAATACATATAAAAAGATGAATTAAAAAAAATATGTATATTTTTCTTAAAAATTTCCTAGTGACATGAATAGCCTTTTGCTGAAGTTTTGAGTGCTGCTTTAGTGGCTCAAGTTTGTATTAAGAGGAAATGACTACCTTTGAAGAACCTGAATACACTGATGTCTAATACTATACAAGAAAAAATATGGTTACTGAGGGAGAATCTATCATCATTAAGAATCTTAGAGTATTTAGAGATGATTCCGTACATACTTAATTAAAAGAGTTAAAAAAGAGATATTTGGATTTTAGGCAAGAGATCACGATAGAATGATACTTACCCTCTTCACAGGGAGAATAAAGCAAGCAAGGTGGAATGAAGAGCTCTTGGTTCAGAGAGTTTTTATACAGTTCCTCAGATCGTGGGGATCACCTAAGGTACAATTTGTACATGTGCATAATTGGGGCAAACCCCAAATTAATATGACACAGAAGTCATCAAAGTTTGGCTGACTGTTGGTTCAAACACTCACAAAATACAAGAGTTGCATTTTGTCTCAGAAGTCTCTTTCATCTCAAATGCTTTGACATCATATTCATTCCTGTTATCACTCTGTTCATGTCCTTAGTGGTACAGCAGGAGCAATGCCAATGCTTTTCTTCAGCTTTTCCATTGTCTTTGTTTTCATGGTCTGATGTGCAACTGGGAATGACAAAGCTACACCCATTTAATAAGCTATCTGTTACTGAAAAGTTCGTGTTTCATTTCATATTTCTCCACTGAAGAAAACAGTCATGAACTGATTATAGCAAGAACACAAATGACCTTGACTTATATATTTTAATGTGATATTTCATAATTGCTAGGCACCTGAATCCAGGTATTTAATATACTTGTAGGAATGCATTCTCAAGTCATTGTGGATGATTTGTGGCGGTTGAAAAGACTTGTTCCCTGGAAGCTTGAAAATATTTCCCAGAAAAAGTTCCAGCCACTTCAAAGGCTGAGAGACCCACCTGATAATTTATGCTAATCTATGGCATAGAGTCTGCAGTATTAAAATAACACATCTGTAAACAGGGGAAGAGCCAGCCTTTATTTTTCACAATTCATTCCAAGTGCATAATTGTTCTCTATTTGTTGAAACTGCCAGCTCAGCACTGTCCTGGACTTGAGCATTACAGGTCACAGATTCCTGAGAATCAATGTCAGCAACTCAAAGCACTTCTTCCCCATTTCTATTCTTGCATCCGAGAGCACAGTTTAAGTGACTGCTGGGAAGAGAAACCCCCTCAGCTGATATCTGTACAAAGAAAAATCCCAGCACTCCAAAATCTAAGGACTGTGCTATTTTTCTGCTTCAATTTCAATTTCTACCTAAAATCCTATCCTATGTAGAGAGCAGAACTGAAGCAAACCTTGCAGGTGCCTGGAGGGGCTGCTGCCCTTCAGAGCTGAATTGTCCCTTCACAGCCAAAAGCTATCAACAACCAGTGATGCTGGGTCCTCCACCTGTGGGTGGGGAAGCTAAGCATGCAGCAACCACCCCCAACCTTCCTACATATTACACTGTCAGTCTTTAACTGCTGTTTGGGCAGGCTGCAATGTGAATTATATGTTCTTAAACAAAAATCATGTCCATGACAGCAGTTTATTATTCTGATAAACCCATGAGACACTCTCCAGGTGTTAATACAAGAGGAGCAAGCACATTTCTTTCGTAATTTCAATGAAGTGACTGGAATAATGCCAGGCATTAATTGTCCCCAACAAGTCACAAGATGAAAGAATTCGCCGTCATCTAATGTAATGTTTATGTTCTTTTACAAGAGAATTTTGAAAGGACTTGTAAACTCCAATAATGAACAAAGCAATGTCATCATCTTGATGGGTTACCTGCATTTGAAATTGGGGCGGGCAACAAATGTTTATCTTGTACCTACGTTTGCTCCGATGGGCTATAAAAGCTCCTCTCTCTCATAGCTCTTCCAAACCTTTCCCTTGACTTCTTGGTGGCTCAGGTAAGCCTTTTTCTTCTCTACTGCTACATCTTTAATTCTGGATTTAACCTCAGCTGTTGAGTGCATCTGTACTGTATTGGGACAGAGAACCTAGCATCAGCTCTGGGCTGACAAATGCACCTGTAATATGGGGGGCATTGCGGAGGTATTGCCTCAGTATTAGTTCACTATGGGACTTGCATTGCACTACCCTGACTGCCTTGCATTTAATCTATGGCAGTCTTTGCATATTCAGGAGTTCACAGAATCTCGGGACTAGTCATTTCAAAAGAGCTTTTTGGAGAACATCCTGGCCCAGAATGTTTGAACATATATTTATTTAATATTGAAATTTTATGGCTTATATCAGGGCACTGGTTGCCTAGATAGGAACTGGGATAATAGCATAACAATTTGTCCTTTACTGTCACGTCCAATGACTTTGTAAGCGTCCAGGCAGGGAAAGCCACATAATCTGTGTTTACATAATTCAGCAAAACTGGCTATTTGCTGAAACTCCTATAGTCTACTCGTTACCTTTGTGTAAACAGCTATAATCATTTCTTTGTGTTTCTTTGTCTTCTACTCAGTCTCATCATCAGTGTGTGTTGCAGCTTACATCCATCTCCAAAAGATGTCCTGCTATGATTTGTGCTCCATCACCACCGGTGGCGTCAGCTGCCCCCAGCCCATTGCTGACAGCTGCAACGAGCCCTGTGTCCGGCAGTGCCCTGACTCCACAACCGTGATCCAGCCACCTCCCGTTGTTGTCACCTTCCCTGGACCCATCCTCAGCTCCTTCCCCCAGCAAGCTGTGGTGGGATCCTCTGGAGCACCCATTCTTGGGGGCGCTGGAGGCTCCTCCCTGGGCTACGGGGGGCTGTATGGCCTTGGAAGCTATGGGGGCTATGGAAGCTCCTCCCTGGGCTATGGGGGTCTGTATGGGGGCTCCTCCCTGGGTTACGGGGGCCTGTATGGCTATGGTCGATCCTATGGTTCTGGCTATTGCAGCCCTTACTCCTACCGGTACAGCAGGTACCGCCGTGGCAGCTGCGGGCCCTGCTAAGTCATGCAAAAATAACCTACAAGAATATCCAGTGACTCCGTGATACATAGCAGTTTTCCCAAAGGAGATGATATGAAGTTGTGATTGGTCCCACCCCACTGCAGTGGAGCTGGGAGCACACAGAGCATCTTTAATCGCCTCACATTCTACTCATGGTCTCTTTGATATTTTTTTCCTCCTGTGTGTATAGTTTGGTGGGTACTATATGCAATCTTAATCCTTATAAAATGGTATTTCACCAAATAATAACTATGGAACGATCTGTCTGCACTCCAATGTTTATTCTTGGCATTCTGTAATACTTTTCTGTGAACATTTCTTATTAAATTGATTTTCTTCCAAATCAGATAAATCAACTTTTGGTTTTAATTTCTACTATTGTGGAGAAAAGTTCTCTAGATAGAGAGAACTGCAGAAAGAAAGATAAATCCTTACATGGGATAACTTTTAGAAAGAGTTGAAGCAATTCATTAGTAAACACTGACCCTTCTTTGCTTCACTGAACACATGTCTGTGAGCAGGAATTCTCCTAGTCCAGTGATAGAAGAATAACAGAATGTTTAGAAAATAGCCACACTAAACCTCCCTTCCCTAATGAGCCTCCTGGCGATCTTCCTTGATCACAGCAGAAGAGCCAATGGATCTGATGAGCAGATTATGGGGAAATGAGTCACAGCTGAGGCCCTCAGGTGGGAGGGATGCTCCTGCATGGGAAGGAAGTTAGGGAGGTCAAGAGTGGTGATAGGGGGTTGTTGAGAGGGAAAAGCTGCAAAAAGAAGTGATTCTCAGAGGGGTGTGGCTCTTCAGTTGAAGTAAGTGGAAGTACTTCTCTTGGGTGAGAAGTATTGCAGGAGAAGCCAGAGAGTCAGGAGAATCTGGAGGACGGGTCTGTAGCATAAAGGAGATGGAAGCGCAAGCTTTAGTTGTGAGGTGCTCCTACATAGGAGGAACTGAGAAACGCTGTGTTGACAGTGTGTATATAGAACTCTGATTTTTCTAATGCTTAAGCTCTTTGGATATCATAAATACCCTGATTGTTTCTGTTGTTTTTGCTAACAGTGATGACTCAACACTAATGTATAACTATGGTAAAACTGTGCAGATCTTCTGCGCCTTTTTGTCTCTACCAAAAGCTCTGCAATGTCTTAGATTTCCTGATTATATAGACTGTTAATTGCACCCTGAGCATAAAATTTGCATGAAGCTGACAGGAGAATATTCATTCTTGAAGAGTTTGACAGGAAATTAAGTCAATTTTCAGTAAGGTCTGTCCCAAGGACGGTGTTTGAATAGTGGGGGGAATGCCTGAAATTCAAGGCAATAACTCAATGACTCAACTGGAAGAAATCAGCCCAACTACCATGAGCTGGACTCAATGATGCTCATGGGTCCCTTCCAACATGTGATATTCTGTGATTCTGAGAAATCAACAGTGAATCCTAAATTGTTGGGAAAGCATTTAAAGTCGTGAATCTATAGTTTCATTTCTTTGATGCTACTGATCTGTGATTGGTGAGAGTGGTGAAACCTTTCTGAGAAGTTGTTTCCATAAGAGATCTTTATATGCCTGAAATACGGGGAGAATAGAGCAATCATTCCTTTTGTTCTGAGGGCTTGAACTCTGCTTTTGTATACTTGAAATTTGTTTTTTTCTGTGATTTACATTTGGGATTTTCATCTACATGATGTAGATTTTCAGCTGGACAGGCTGTACAACTGTTGTAGGCTTCTTAATAAACAAATAATTAGGATAAAAATATGAGAAAAAAACACCAGAAAGTTGCAAGTATGATGCAATAAACTGTTAATGATACTGAGAAAGTAATACAAGTTCAGAGTCTCCAAGAAAATAAGTAACTGATCTTCAGCAAGGGATATATTCACATGATTCATTTTCCTTCCTGTGTTTTAGTTTATCTAAACAACCAGGAATAATTTCTGCAGTTTTGTTACATTTACCCATGGTAAAACAAGAGGATGGGAACATAAAGGGAGAAGCATTATAGTAGAAACTGAAAGTAGAATTCAGAGGAGAAATTTGGTGGGAGCTGAAGGGAAAAAGCTCGATGGTCTTGAATCAGAGCAACATGGAGCTCTTCAGTTGGGAACCCATTGCATCTCATCTGCTGATTCTCTCCCATGAGGGGAATATTCCTGCATGACTTAGCAGGGCCCGCAGCTGCCACGGCGGTACCTGTTGTACCGGTAGGAGTAAGGGCTGCAATAGCCAGAACCATAGGATCTACCATAGCCATACAGGCCCCCGTAGCCCAGGGAGGAGCCTCCATAGCCATACAGCCCCCCATAGCCCAGGGAGGAGCCTCCATAGCCATACAG